AAAAAATGAGATGGGCATCGCTGCCTACGCCGACGGCCAGAGGCCCGCGCATCTACATTTTTTCGCCTGACCCCATCAGTGCCGACCCAACTACACCACCACGCGCATGCCTCGCGGCGGATATGCGCAGCAGCAAGAAGGTTTCGGTCATCCCTTGAGGGTGAGTCTAGCCCTGCTCGCCAGAAAGACCCCCCCCTTCACTACAACCCATGTCTAAGCAAAAGCTTGTCGAGGAGCGAGGGGAAGAAGGGAGAAGATATGACACCCGAACAAACCAACATTGATATTCAGAAGCCAGACGGTGGAGTCAAACGCCCTCTCGCACACCACGGTAGCCGAGAATACCTTACAAAACAAAACGACTTCCACAAAAAAAAAAAAAGCGACCCCAGCACGGAGTGCGCTCCTGCCTTGGGAACTTGCCGCGTCATTGGGGCACTAGAAACAAGTCAGCGTACCGTGCGGCAGGATCGCGCGAGCCTCTCCTTGGACATACGGCCGTACGGTGTTTACAAGCGACAACAAATGACCTCTACACTATGCATGACTCACGTCGTGAAGCATTCTGCACCACTGCGCCACGAGCGGTAGCTTTTGAAGGTCCTGCGCTCCCGATAACCCGCCAGTCAAGCCAGAACCGATCACGTAGCGTGGAGAAGAAACAAGAAGGATAAGATTAACCTCACATGATAGCCCACAAAAAAAAGGGGGGGGGGGGAGGCGTGGTTCGGTGTCCGCCCATTCGCAAATGTCCATGAAACCACCCATTGCATTGCCGAAACGGAAGGAGAGAGAAAGGGTTGAGGCAAGGGAGGGACAAAGACAACGACAGAAAACAGGACGAGAGGGGGCGGGAAACGGTTTCTCTCATCAGCAAACGGAAAACAAAGGGAATGCCAACATTGTTTTGAGCAGGACGCAGAAAACATTGCATCTGAGATACAACGGACAACAGCTCCTTCATTGACCTAAATACGCACAAGCTGGGGCAGCCAAAAGAGACTCGACAAAAATTGTAGGGATGCTTTGGCTCAAACTCATCGTCAACAACTTTCGCCGGAAAATAAAAACAGCACTCACACGCACACGCAGGATTGATGCTCTGCTTGAGATTCCTCAGACGTCTACGTGGAAAAATCTCCACAATAATGTAGCTCAATCAGTCAGTCGGCAACGAAATGTGTATGTAATTTGTAGACGACAACTTGCCTGAGCGGACACCTCGTAGTCCCCGGACTTGTTTCTCCGTCGGTTGGCCTCGCTCTCGAGAGAGGGGATGATCGCCAGCGTGGCCCTGGCGAAGAAAGCAGTGAAGAACAACGCGACAAGCAACAGCAGGCCACCCAAAACAATTTTTGTACCTGTCATGCGAATATTTGTCCTTGTAGACTTGATGATGGGTACACGTGGGTTCCTATTCGCGTTTTGGCTCCATGACAGCTGGACCAGCATTGTCCTGCCGTCCTGGCGCCTGGATCCAACCACTTTTGAACACAAGCACAGCGGCTGTGTATCAACATATGTATCAACACATGTATCAACACAGTGCAAGTGCAGTACGAACAAGCCGGGAGGTGTTCGACGTCAAGGCAGTAAGACCAAAACCAACATCAACCGCCCCTCTAGCGACTACTAGTAATCCCTTGAGCGATGCGCACCCACGGCTGCCAAACGCAGCCAGCCAGACGGAAGCTAGCCAGAAACAACCGAGTAAAAATGTTGGCGATGTGTTGCTTGTTGCTGCTGTGGTTGATACATCTCGTTGGCTTCACATAAAACATCGTTCCGGTCTCCACTCAGCATACCTTCATACCTTCAAATACCCGCGCTGTTCCTACTGACGCGCACGCCTTCCGTGGTCTCAACCCAGCTACTCCAAACAAGGGGTACACATACACCTTTCTAGAAACCAACAAACCGCAACATGCCATGTGCAGGCGTAAAAAAATCTAAACGGCGTAGTCTCACCTAGCGACGGGGTGGCTGAGAAGCCTTTGCCTGGTGGGAGGGGCCCACAGCATGTGGATGCACTGCACCTGGGAGAGTAGAGGGCGCAGCACAAATATGAGTTGTGAAATTCCGGCAGCAATGAGACGGAGAGACAAAACCAAGTTTTCATACAGATCAGCAGGCCATCACGGGAGACGGTTAGTTGCCCTGGGTACTTCTGTATAGTATAGTACTAGACGTCGAGAGCGTCGTGGTGGTAAGCTTGACGGAACGCGGTTATCACCGTGGAATGTAATTTGGTATCCTTCAGTCCATCCACTGGTGTTCTCGACAGGCGACCAGTGCATCACACGAACCGGGGTCATCGCGGCAACAGTCCCACGACACAGCAGCCACCACAACCCCCCCACCCCCCCAGACCCACCATGTTCACGATGTTAGGCAGCGCCTGCGACCACGCCAGGGCGAACGGGTTGGCCGCGCTCAGCCCTTCCATCCCGGCCCGGACCATGGCATCCAAGTCTCCGTTGAAGCTCTTGCCGTCGCCTACGCTAACCCGCTGCCCCAGGCCGAGGAGCACCGTCAGGGGGGCCCGCAGATTCTGGAAGCTGGTCGTGGCCTGCGTCGTGCGCGGGGACGCCGGCGCGTAGGCCGCCTCGTCGGCGGGGAGGTCGGGCGTGATGCCCAGCCGCGCCAGCAGTTGCTACGGGGGGGGGGAGGGGGGGGGGGCGTGGCGACCAAGATAAGGCCACCTCTCTGGCGAGGACTACGGTTCGAACCAAAGTCAACCAACAGAGGGCGTATGCCATTCGGGACGAGGATGCAGTTATTAGATGTGTGTTCTCGAGAATAACGGGGCTCGCATTCGGGTCATCGACCATGTTAAAGCCGGAAACAAGCGGTGAAAGGGTGGCGGATGTATTCATAGTGTATCATTGCCTGCTTCAAGACCTGTGTTGCAACCACAACAGAAAAACTGTTTAATTCTTCCGCAGGGATTGTTGCTTGAATTTCCTTCGTGCTGCTGTGCTGTCGGGATACAAAAACCCTGCGAAACACACGATAACTCACATCTGGGGAGCTGACAGCGTTCGTGACCTCCTCCCCTACCCAGACCCCCATGGGCTCCTTCAGCATGTCTAGCACGAACCCTCGACGCTGATTTTCGTCCTTCACGCTGTTGCTCACCACCACCTGTGGATGTATCGATTCATTGATTCATTCATTGATTCATTGATTCATTGATTCATTGATTCATTGTCCGATGGAACAAGGAGAGCGGCCGCACTCCAATCGGGTGTATTGCCGCAAACGCGAAGTCAGCCTTTCCACCATTGCTCAACAGCAACGCCGTCAGTAGGAAACCAAGCCCATGAACTTGGGAGAAATAAAGTACAAATGTAGACGTTTTGTTCTTGTTGTGACGCTGCTGTCACCTTCGTTCACAACGCTTCAGACTGCTCCTGCGGTAGAGATAGACGTTGACGCTAGTTCTTCCACACAAGGACACCATGACAAGACAGCATCTCGATCAAGAAAGAACGACACCATGTTGCCTGATGGACGGTAGCTCATAAAAAAAAAAAAAAAAGGCAACTTGCTTTGCCTTCCATCTCTAGAAACATACCATCACTAGACTGGCGGTTCGAGATCATGCTAGAGTTGAAGGTGGTGCGTTGGAACTTTCTGCAGTGAGTGGTCGGGGATCGGGGAAGAAACCCTGCTGGATAACTGAACCTGCTTTTGAGTCTGTGACGCCTACTCTGAAGGTTTGAGTGAGATCTCTATTACGACTCACCAGAGTGTGTGCGCCTACACGGAAGGTACGAGTGAGATCTCTTATGATATCACGAATCACCGAGAGGGTACATAGCCAAAAAAGGGTGAGCAAGACTCATGTGGCTCCGCCAACCGCAAAAAACCTACCAGCAGCTCTAGCAGGTGTGTGCGCACGGCAAGGCTAGGCCTATTGTTGTTGATGACGGCGTTGACCCGTTGGCAGATGCCCCCCAGGGCCACCACAAGCACGGCAGACACGCCAGTCCCGAGCACAACGAGGGCCCTCGACGCGGCCTGTCGGACGGCTTCCACCTGAACACAGGACAGGAGAATGTATCGGCAAGGAAGGGTGTTCTTGTTGTTATCGGCATGGAAGGGTGTTCTTGTTATTCTCGGAAGTTGAGTATCAAAGGCATCGTGGCGGAGCTTCTTAGACAAAAACGTGACCGACCGCAATGTGCACTCAGTCCGTGGCCTGTTCTGAAAAACATCGCAAAAATTACCCTCATCGACGGGAAACAATCAGGACGCGAAAAAATGTCAGAAATATTAGTGCAGCAAATAAACCATGACGGGGTTCTCTTCACAAAGGGTGGCCTTCAAGGAGCAAGTGTCCTTAAAAATATACCCCCCTGTTGTTATTACAATACATGCTACGGGGCACCGTGCTACTGACAATATGGTGTGCTCTACGCTGTGGCTAAACAACGAATTCCGGACACTGACACAATCGAGGAGTATCGAGGTCACGCGCAGGAAGACACCAAACGGAAGAAAGCGACAACGTGACGACGACGGAACAACCAGCGACGATCGCAGCCAGATATGAATACCGTACGTGACATGACACAAGATAACAAACCCCGTGGACCGATTTCCAAATCTCGATTACTCCACGACCAAGGGGATGCACAAATGAAACGATACCCTTTGACGAAGCGGCTTCAACGACGTCGTTTTCGGCGCTGCTGCCACTCTTTCCTGCTGACAATGGAGCATTGAAAATCGGTCCAGGGGGTGTGCTATCTTACGTCACCCACGGTACTGTTGTACCTCTGGGCTAGCCGTGACCACGGTGGCTCCGGGCATCGCGGCGAGGTTGATGTTGGGGTCGGGCTGCTCGAGTAAGGTGAAGAGCTTGTCGAAGACCGACTGCAGCATCCCGGACTCGTGCACGAACAGCAGCTTGCAGGACTCCAGCTGAATATGAAATGGCGTTACATGTCAGAACGCAGGGGGATACACACCAAAGAACAGAAAGGGAACGCCGTCATCTGTACGTAGCGCACGGGTATGCATAAGTTGACGCAAGGAGGGACCCGGGGGCGTCACTTCACGAAACCGAACAGCAGAGGGGAACGAAAGGATTGTGAGAGGATTGACACGCCAAGATGACTGGGCACGGACAGGTAGCATTTAGCAGGGCGGCTCGCTGCACACTTGACGCCTTCTGCGTCGGCGGCGTGGCTTGGCATAGCTTGGATTGTCGCCTTGGATCCAACACCATGTACAAGTAGCCTTCCACGAGATAACAGTCAATAGCACTATATTTATGCATAGTACTGGATAAATCATTGTTTAGTTCTAGTAAGGTTGTGTGTTCTCTTCCCATCTATTCTGGCGGCAGTGTACAGTATACATTTCGACATATATTTGACTCATCAGCCGGGGTCAGGCACACGCACCGGAGGACGAAAACACAGGGATATTCCTCTACATTTGTTCGCCCCACTTGATCCCCAGCCGTGCTTGCCTTGGATAAAATGTAATGCCCGAACGGTTCAGCAGACATTTCCCTCTTACTATATGTACTCGGTGAAAGAGGACAATTTTCCTGGCACCAGAAGCAAGCGTTGGCACCAGCTTTTCCGCGCCAGTCAACACCGCACCACGCATATCGTGTCACACCAAGTGCGTAGTGTCCAAATTGTCCACAACCCGAATCGTTCTCCTCCCTTCTAGTCTCTTTCAACCCCAGGGGGGAGCGGCGGTCGATGGCCACCATGTATGATAGCAGCAAAAGTAGACACACTAAAACTCCATTGAATAGTCTCCCTTTACCTGGTATCTACAGTATAAAATGGGAATTTCGAGGCAACTGGCGCAATGTTCGCTACAAATAGAGACCACCCACCCATCCTATCTCACCACCGTCAGCTGGTGTCCGATGAGAATAGAGCCGTTGGGCTGCCAGGTGATCATGAGCTCGGCCACGGTCCTCAGCATCTGGAAGCACTGCGCCGAGACGAAGGCCGTCGTGCCGCCCTCGACCATCTCTTCCGGGTTTTCAGGCTGATCATGACCACGTCGGGGGGGGGGGGNGGGGGGGGGGGGGGGGGGGGGGGGGGGGGGGGGGGGGGGGGGGGGGGGGGGGGGGGGGGGGGGCACCGCAGAATGCAAGGACGGAGGAGAAACTCAGCCGGGCGCGAGGTTACGGCGTGTGAAACAACAGAGAACGACAAAATTGCTGTTGCAGCTACATAGCATAGATCATCAGGTGAGCCAGCATCTTCTGGCAGGACAGCGGATAATCGGGTGAGGTTACACAGCTTGTCTGGCTGCTGCGGATGCACCTCAACTCAAAAACAGCAGCATTGTATGCATAGTGTAGACACGACGTTGCGTCCTGCAATCCTGGCTGCTGCTGGACACAAAGCGGTTCACCTTTTCTCCAGTGCACCAACTGGGAAGGCCCGCGATGGTCCCTCTCGCGAGGGAAGCGAACGTGCTCCAGGAGCGACATGCCTCCGTCTTCCACGTTGGGAAACCCGCCGCATCCAGATGGTCACGACCCGTCCCGTGCTGCTGCACGAGTTGCTGCGCTTGCTCCAAGATGTACCTGACGATGTGGAGAGGATTCACCTTGCCGACACTGTTGTGCAACAGCTTCACCTGGCGAGGAGAGCGCGAACAGCGAAGAATTCATTCGGGGTGAGCTAGTGAAAGCGGTACTGCTGTAGCTGTTGATATCGCACAAGCCGTGGTGGGAGGAAGGCTTCACGCGTGCAACGGGTTGAGGCAGCAATCATAACGACAAATGCTAGAGTCTTTGTCAAGAGTTGTCTTGAAGTATCCGGTGCAAGACACGGAAGAGTGACATATAGGTGGTACAGTCGTCCCCGCTTTGAAGACACTCTTCTTAAGGAAACTCCCCGCTATAAAGACACATTTTTCCCCAGAACATGGTGCCCCGCAGATGTATAATGATATAGGGGGGTAGCGTTTCCACTTTGCGGCCCCCCCCCAAATTTTTCCGCTCCTATTTGTACGCGAACGGAAGAGACGGCGAGTACAGCGAAACGGTGTACCTTCTTTCGAAGACTGTGCATTCGTTTACTCATGAAGCTCAAGTCAAGCGAAGAACGAAGGAGGGGGGTGAGGTGCAGGCGACTCTTCGGGATGTGTGGGCGACGTAGTTTTTGGTGTTTGAAGACAACACACTTGGCAGCCCACATTCATTGTTTGGGATTTTTTTGCCTTTCTCGTGGAGTTAAATTTTGGCATTTTTTGTTTCGTGTTTTTGCCTCGTGTTGACCTTTGGGGAAGAGCGGTGTTCTCTTTTCGCTGGGTTTGCCCGATTTTTTGTATGTTTTGGTCTGCGCTACCGACCGTTTCCTAGTGTCCCTCAGATCCCTCTAAGGGGTCGACTGGGTTTGTTTGGTCCCTATGTGGCAGGTAACTTGCGTGTATCGTATCAGAGCTAGTTCCAACAAACTGATGTGTCTCAGGTGTGTTCGCGATATCACGGGCATGATGTTCACCGTGAGGACAACGCCTTGACAATAAGAAAAGCCTACAACAACACCAGCGCACACTGCCGTACACATTACAATAGGTCGTGCTGTACTCCTTCCCGCGTTTCGGTGGTGGAGGGAAATTCAAAAATGTGTACAGTATTGGAGTACAGCAGCAGTAGTGTTGCGGCCTTCAATTGACGTGTTGTCGCAGTTTTTAAGCAGCACAATTTCGTGGTCGCATTCCTGCTTCAAATGCGCGTATTTTGACACATGTTACACCTCCATTGACCCCGGGGACGGTGAGTTAGTGGCCCCGGAATCCTAAAGACACTTCCCCGCGTTAAAGACACTCCAAAAAAAAAAAACGCGGTGTGTCTTTGAAGCGGGGTCGACTGTAATAGTATTGCAACCCAAGTGCAACTAGAGCTATTGCCCTGCCCGGTATGGGGTGAGAGCCAGAGAGAGAGGGAGAGAGATCGCCGCCAAGTGCAGAGTGCAAAAGAAATGGGCCGTAAGACAAGAAGCCGTTTCATGCATCCGAAGAGAGAGGGAGGGAGGGAGGGAGGGAGAGAGAACCGCGAAGTGCAGCGTACATAAAAATTGGCCACAACAAGTCGTTGAATGCATCCGCACTGAAGCTACTCAACGCGGTCTTGGTTGCGAAGGCAGTAAGTACAACGATTGGCATGAGTCTTGTCTCAGGCGTGCGACATATTCTACTTCCTTGTTCTTCTGTGGGAAGAGCGCTTGCCTTCTCAAAGCAAAGCAAACAATTCATCCATATCGGCATTTCCAAGTCCTGCCAACACTCCACTCCACCATCAATAAACAATCAACAGCGCGGTGCAGTTGCCTTTCTGTCAAAAACTTGTCTAAAAACTACAGGTAGCAGCCTGGGAGTTAATAAAATCACGCCCAAACAGACAGCGATCCAAGTACTTGATAGTGAGAACAGGTGCTCAGCTACTACATCATCGTACACTAGAACCTATACACTAGATGCTGGGATACCCCCACAAAGAAAAACAAGAAATAAGCCTCGCGCATAAGAAAGGTCTTCAGCGTTGGCAAGTGTTGCGCGGCCTGTGGTCGGTCATCTTTCTTGCGACAAATTACCAGGCACTCACCTGTGTTCGGAAGCCAGATATGAATTGGAAGTAGTCCTCCTCGTCGACAAACTCTTCCGCCGCGACAGGGTCGTCCGTGACGTCATCCTCGAAGCGAACCTGATGAAACGGCACGACGAAACGGCACGACGAAGCAGTACAGCGTGACCGTCGATAAACTTGACGCAGAGACACTCGAAAATATGTACATATCTCGCGGGTGACTATTTGGTCAATAAAAATATGGTACCTCCGAAGTTGTTGTAGCGGCGGACCATATGTGTTTGCGCGTGCGGAAAAACAAAAATAAAAGATACAGCAGTATGAGGCGTGAGAGTTTGTTTCGCCGCACGACAAAACGATCAAAGACCTCGGCCGCATCAGCGCGTGACCGTTTGCACCATAGCCTTCGAAAGCAACTGCATTTTATTACACACACGCAAACATGGTTGCACTATTTACCTCCGAGCGATGGATAGGCATGACTGAGAGAGGAAACTGACCGACATTCGACACTATGTACTCGTGGGACATGCATAACAAGGGTTACGGCCCCAGCCATTACCGGAGGATTGTGTAGCAGGCTGGTCTAGTCATAATTCCTACCAGGTACTGGCTGCGAGTACACTCGATCATGGAAGAAACATCCCTGTCCGTCGCAGTCTGGGGACAACTACAAACCATCCCCAGGGTGTTCAGCATGGTGATCGATGAGGGAGATGCCAGACTAAAAGTGTACCGTTCTGTCGAAGAGTCGACTTCAGGAATGTGGGCGTGATGTTCGGCTCTGCTAGCGTCTCCTTGCCTGGGAATTTTCTAGCAAGGCTTCCGGAAACCGGATGTGACGCAGACGCCGGGAATTGTTGTTGTCGCAAACGGAAAAAAACTTCCTCCATCTTCGCCCCGTGGGAGGCACTAGGGGAAGGGAGTGTGCTTGCTTGATCCACGTGTCCATAACCAAAAGAAACACAAAAAAGCGTTGTTGACGCCACTGTGTTGGAGTCGAGTACCGTGCGCGCACAAGCGGCGGATGTCCTAGCAAGGGGGGCTGCTCGTAGGGAACCATGTGTGTGCCAGAGAGCAAAATCCCATGTTCCATGTCCAGATAGTAATGCAAATTGCACGTGTGGCGTCCCTGTGTGCGGGGACTGGAGTTGCTCCACCTTTTGCCTGTTCGCAGTTCCTGAACCAGAGGCAGATAAATTCAGCCAATCAAAACCAACCCGACCTCTAGCCTGAAGCCATGCGATTGTGTTCCACACAAATACCCGCCAAATATCACTTGATTCTACCCTTGACAATGGACGAACGCAGGCAAAAGTGTACAGGTAGAAACCACCAGACACAACGATGTGATCATGATTAAGGTACGACACATCAGATGCAGCCAACTAACCCGCCGTGACGATGACAAAGGTACAACACATAGGTATACCCGACCAACTCACCGTGACGATGAAACAGGTACAACACATTAGACTCAGGTGTACCCGAATTCGACCGGGAACCAACCAACCAAGTCACCGTGACGATTACAAAGATAAAACACATTAGACTCAGGTGTACTCGAATTCGACCGTGAACCAATCAACCAACTCACCGTGACGATGTGCGAGGCGAAGGCGGCCACGAGCTGCGGGACCATCACCACGAAGGCGGGCATGTCCTTAGCATTTGGCTTGTTGGCCAGAGTCTGCCACGCCTGGATCAGGTTCCCGGCCATGCGCTTCGAGGGCATCTTGGTCAGCTGCAGCACCTCCTCGAGGAACTTCGACAGCATCTCCGACTTCCGGCTAAGGGTCGCCGTGAATGGGAAAACAATAAATAGTGCAGGGTGAGGATGGTGCGCTTGCGACACTCCCTCCTCTTCCGAGAAACAAGGGCAAATCCGAAAAATAATAACAAGGAGCATGCTGCCAGCAATTGAGACCTGGTGGAAAATCAAGAGCATTCTGCGTGCGATCGAGAGACTTGGTTACATGTAACACACAAAGAGCATCTACCTGCGATTGAGACTTGGTTAAAAGTCACCTATTTCTGTTCTGAAAATCCTTCTCCCCGGCGATGTAGTTGATGTTCCTCATCAGCGCCTCCTCCAGACAGGCGCTAAGCATCTGGTGCACCTCCAGCGACTCCGACAACGGTAACGCCTCCTGGGCACGGTACACGCACGTTCACGGAAACCCGCACACCAGACCGAAAACCACACGGGACGTGCTCAAACGCTGTTGGTGTTGTTGGTGTTGTTGTTGTTGTGTTGACATAAAAAGAAAGTACCGGTATCTTTTTCGGTACCTTCCGACCCCCGCTCCGGTCCACCTGACGCGGGCGCCTTCCGTGGTCAGACCCATTACCCCAGACCGTTCGGGTTTGATATACTTGAGCAGGCTTTTCATTCTATACGATATTCTAAATCACTTTCTTGGCCGTGCCATTTATTCACAATCGCTCGCCGTTCCTAAACATCGTGCCATCTTGCCTCCCTGACGTAAGCGCTGCGATTCATCTACACGAATGCACACTCGGACACACGACCCTCACTCCCGCTGCTCATATAATATACCCAGGTAACCATCGGTGATTTGATTGAAAAAACAGAACAAAACACGAGAGTGCCACGACAACATCACACCACAGCAGCAGCAGCAGCATACTTAGACCCAGCAACAAGCACAGCAGTGACTGCACATTTTTTCAACAGTGAAAACAAACACCAGCAGCACCACCACCTGCACGAGACTAGCGACAGCAGCAACTTTGAACATGAGCTACGATACCACCAACAGCAGCAGGTTTTCCTTGGGACCGCCTTCGCGAGAAATGAAGTTGATGAATTGAGGAAATACAACAAGGAGGGATACACAGACCCTTCCCTACTCCTAACTCAACTTCCTCGATTGCATGCTTCATCCAACATGTTTACTTCGTCAAAAAGCCCTGTGAAGGCTACGGACCGCCTTCGCGAGAAATTAAGCTAATGAGGAAATAGGAACAGGGAGGGGTTAACCCAACTTTCCCGATTGCATGCCTTACCCAACACGTTTACCTACAGTAGTAGAACCTTGGGAAGGCTACTCACCTGTGCCAAGGCTTGCTTGACGTGCTGCACCATCTCGGGCAGGTGCTCCAGAAGGCGATGGAAATGCTTTTCCGACAACTTCTGGGAACACATCGCCTCGAGGCACACCAGAGACTCGCTCCTCGCCACCCGCAGGGTGCTCAGCTGCGCGATCGCCTGGAAATTCCATGGCATCAACAGCAGTAGCACCAGCAGCACCAACAACGGTAACAACAACACCAGCAACCAAAAGGACGCAGGATGACACTAAAGGGCATTAATTACCGCAGCACGAGAGAAAGCGTAGCAGGGGCGTGGGTCACGGCATCGGCTTTACCTTCAAAACTTCCGCCAAAGACAGCAATCACGCGAGGACGGAGGCACGTGTGGGTGCGCAGGCACAATACATCAAAAACGGTAAAGTCAGCATTATATGCATCGATTTACCACTGGTTCGTTTTTTGCGTCGGAAACGCCTTGGCTGAGTCTACAACACGCTCACGTACCTCTGAACAACGTGACTTGTCGCTCACACGACCAGACCAAGATGGGCTAAATACAAAAGGCCACAAGCCACGATAATAAGGGCAGTCGAATGCACAGCGAATTTTGCTTCTAGAACTTCCAATTTTCAAAATTCGTTCCAAACTTTCGTTGAAGCAGATCGCTGTGTATACAACGGCCTTAACACACCTAGTACACCACAGCAACGAAGCAACGGTCAAGCTACAGCTGTACTAGGAGCCAAGGCAATACAAAATCACGTAGACCACGAGCGGTTGGTTCACCACAGCAGCCACGAGGTCAAGGAGTCGTGTGCCCTTCCCGCCGACGCTATGCCTCTCAGACCGAGGGACGCGACACAGACGACATCGAAGGAGAGGTGTTGTAGTAACCCCTTAACGCGAAAAACAACACCGTCATTACTCCATGGTCCCTCCGAGGGGCATCGCCCACCGGCAAGAAGTCGTTCGGCTCCTCTCCCATGCTCTTCTCGCCGGCCCAGGGCATGATCTTGGACAGCAGGTTCAGCGCCCGGTTCATGAGAGCCGCCTCCGTGGCCCCGACTCCCGCGGAAGCTCCACCGGCTGCCGCGACGGCAGCCTTGTAGCCCATCCACTGCTGCACCAAGAAGTTGTACACTGCCGAGAGCCGTCGGGCAGGGGGGACAAAATAATGGATCACTTTCCGCTGCGTGTTGCTCCAAGATGAGTAGAGCGACAGATAGCTGTGAAGACGTTGCTAATTTATCCTGGACTCTTCTCATCTGTGGATAGAAAGAGATGTTTTTTCCGTTTACATTATACGATAAGAAAAGATGAGTATAACCATGGCTGGTCATACAACAACGAGAGATAGATAGATAGAGATTAAGTTCTTCCAGTTCTTGTAAGAAGACAACAGACAAAAGTAAGTCTATCAAACCCAGCATCATCAGTACTGGGGCGTCTATCCAACAACCAAGCGTTAACATGGCACGCTGAATCGGCAAGTTCCATCGTGTCAAAATCAGCAGCACACCAGATTGACGGTATCGTCTTACTCACATGTTGGCATGAGTTGGGGCAAGAAATCGTTGAGGCCTCTCAGGATAGGATCTCTCCGGCTGAAGTCGATCTGATGGCAAATTCGGGGACAACCGCAACAACATAAAATCGAATCATGTCGTGCCGTGGTTCCAAGCGAGTCGTGCTCCAACACGCGCAAAATATACGGCACCGATAGCAGCAGTCAGAGAAGACACTCGCGACACAAAACGGATAGTACCGGTATCGATACCGACAAACTACATTGAACGCGATGTACATCGACGACGCTTCCACTGCATTGGGCTTGCATGCGTACATGCATGGATCGACTAATCACAGCAAAAAAGTCCAGCCAGCACGAAGATCCAATGCATGATCATCACGGGTGGCGGTGGCTACATATGCCGTATTCAAAGGTTTTCGAACAACAAAACAGCCGTCACAGGGCTGAAGGCATGCAAGTGTACAGTCCAGTCGACCCTCGAGCGCGCCGGAGGCATGCGAAGCCGAAGGAGACACTGCTGCTTACGCCGATTACCTTTGCTCTGAATAGCACCGCGCCACCGTTAACGACAACGAGGCCATCAACGTTAACCTTGGTCCAGCAGACATACAAAAAACGAGCTAAAACTGTTGTCTCCACCCATGAGCCACGATGTCGAACCAACTAGCACTAGCCATCGATGCCAGCTGCGTGGCCCCCGGCACGCGTCAGCTACAATTATGCATACATCGATATCACGGAATTATCATCATGCTGCCATGTTCAAAACTAACCAGGATACCTACCCCTGACGTCGCACAGACAGTCCCATCTTCTGCGACAGCTACCTCACCTCGCTCCTGAAGTCCACGTCGTGGCAGTCTTCGATGAGTCTGGCCAGCACCATCATAGCCAACTCCGCCTGTACAGGGCCCGTCGTCCACGCCTACTCACACCCACCGGCCGAACCACCGATCGAAAACCCCAACCCCGCGAGGAAGTGTAAATATTCCTTAGATTTTTCCCAAAACGGTGAACAGGATCTATGGTCGTATCGCCAAAGCAATTATACCCACACGGCATGTTAAGTATTTTGCAGATACCTGTGTTTACAGCCGGGATCGCTATCACCTTGGCCACCATTTCCGTGATAATTCGTGACCTACCATGCCAACCTTTCTATCTTTACTGCTGTCGGACTCAGATTTTTCGAGGTATTGGTGTCGTGCCGTCGTAGCATTCCACCTAAAGTATCGACGTAAATCTCACAGCAGTAGTGATTCTCGCAAGCTCTTATCGAAAGCCTTGCGTACATGCATAAATGAATACCTGCATCATCTGCTCCAGGAAGCCTTCCCATCGGTTCGGGTAATCCCTCTCAGCTAGCCGTGCAACCAAATCGGCCACCTGAAATTTTAGATACGATTTTTCGGGTTTGATTGAGTGGGTGCTCACAGCAGTGGTCGATCGGACCGATCAATTTGTTAGATCAATGTATGCGGCATGCAATCGTGGCCCTCAGTTGACGACCCGCTTGCCTCAAAGCTTGGCTGGCCGTCGATCAGCAGCACAATAGTTTCATAGGTTACCCTCGTCAAAGCAGTGACAACAACTCTCCGGTCGGTTAGCGGGCAGTGCTGCCTGCTACAAATACTGCTGTGTAACGCCAACGGGGAGCCGCCCCTCGATGGCAAAACCAAATTGTGGCAACAACATCAGATCGCACAGAACAAGGCGAAACACATGAAGACCAGTCTGTTCCTGAGCCTCTCGAAACAAAGACCACCACTGCTGCCTGCTGCTCTCTACGATGCCTCGCAATTGAAACCGGGAACCGATCTCGTAACATGTGCGTGCGCTACGACGCAATTGCCAAGCAACAGGCAGGAGATGCTCCAGGTACACAGCAGCTGAACTACGCGCAGCGGACAGACCGGTGATACTGCCGTAGAATACCCCATTCTTGTGGTTCACCTGCTGTACAGTGATACTGCAGCAGTACAGTAGGACGTTCGAAAGCGATCCAGCAACATTCTCCCAACAGCCCGCACATAGCCACCCAGACGCCACAACACCGCTGGCTCGACCTACTATACTAGATATACTAGATATACTAGATATACTAGATATACTAGATATACTAGATATACTAGATATACTAGATATACTAGATATACTAGATATACTATATATACTATATATACTATATATACTATATATACTATATATACTAGATATACTATATACTATATATACTATATATACTATATATACTATATATACTAGACGAGCACAGGACCTGGAACAATACGTAAGCACCGCGAGGCGATAGGCCGAATCTACAACGATACTGGCAGATACCTTGATCTTGATGAACTGGGCCTCGTCAGCAACGTCCCTGGTGCCCCTGGCCATGACCTGCAGCATTGCCTCCTTCAGCTGCTCCTTCTCCGCGAGCGTTAGCTGAGGGGCCTGAAAGGAAATGGCGAAAGAGAAGGAAATTGCAAACGAGAAGGAAGAGGAAAGAGGGTTCGCCCAGGGTCATCCCACTCAAATGGCCGAAAACGATGCCGCATCGCAACATTCATGTCTTCAAAGATGAGTGCAACGAATGGCGTTCCTTTCTGTGCAAGTGGATGGTGAAGCTAGCATGGGTTCATCAACAGCCTTCTATTGCAGTCGTTCCCTCTTGGGACAAAGTAGGTCAGCTGAGAATCCTGCAGAAAACGGCATAATATTGCAAGCCGAGGTCTTACGGGAGCTATGTGCCAGCCGATGCACCCGTCCTGTAGTGGGCACCCACCATATCCGAAGCATGCAACAACTCGAGTACTGTACGTGGAAACGTGAAAGAATGCCGGGTCAACACGAAACGCCTACTAACAGCGTCCGAGGGGAGCGAACGAACGAACGAAGGCAAAGGCTGGAGGCAGCACTCGAATACCGGTACTAAGATTCGGTGCGAAGAGTGAAGAGACCACGCGGGCCATTGTCACCGCTACAGCTACCGCTGTTGTACCTGCAAAAATCCTCCCGCAGGTAATGGTACAGCAGTACATCTGCTTTGTACATCAGACAGCACGTACCCACAACCCTCGGAAGACAACAGCAGCGCAACCACGAGACCACCCCCTAATCAACCAGCCTCTCTCACCATCCCTGGGGGCGCGCCTACTCCAAACGCAGCGGTCTTGCCGAGCGTCCCTTTCGGCTTTGCCGCGTCGTTCTCTGGAAACCACCTGACCTTCAGCATGTGCTCCAGCGAATGCAGGGCGAAATGCCGCACCTTACGATGCGATGCGCGCGAATTGTCAAAAAACAGCGACAGCCGCGACGTCATAGTTGGTGTCGACGCAGCAACAGCAGCCGTGAATTGAGATGTGATCGTCGCAAGGGAGACGGCCACAATAGCCATCGGCGGCTATAAAAAACATACCATGTGCTTGGACTGTGCAGGGGGGGGAGAGGGCGAGCTATTGTACTCCGCTCTTGTCGCAGTGAGACTGTACCATCAGAAGTACGCAGAGTTCGCTATACGAGTCAACAAAGACCGCCGTCTGGATGGGAATACAGAAAACAACGACTGGGATGGCCGATCCAGCATCGTGAGACATTCACCACGGGCCATCTGGGTTTCTTCAGCATGCCCCGTGCAACAAGCTCTTTAGCCGCATGCGGAGACGGTCAGACGGTCACATTAACTCCTGGTTCGCATGCGTGCCCGCAGGAAGCGTTCAGCATATACACAACGTCGCTAGACCTGCAAGAAAGGATGATACGTACCATGATATGCGTGACACACCATGTGTTTCTCGTAGCCCCAAACGCTCCCGGCTACACAAGCAGTACACACGAGAACGCCAAATCTCCCCCCGCTGCCTTGAATGGTGAATGGTCTACCAATGACTGTCCTTCAGCCTTGTCAGCCTCACCGACACACCTCCACGCTTTGCTTACGGTGAGTATGCACCAAGAGAATGTCACCTGATCCGTGTGCCTTGGGGACGGTGTCTGCAGGATGTACAGGGCGTAAGGCATCCCGTCGGCCCGGTCCTTGAACCCTTCCAACATCTGCCCAGCCGCTTGCCGGGCCTGTCAACAGCGGCACCAAAACGCACAGGAAAAACGGCGATGTGCTCCTGCAGTATCGAAACCTCACGGGATGGGCAGAAGTACGTAGAAGACTCATGTGGTGTCCCCCCCCCCCCCGTCAGTGCCGGCGCCAGTCTATAACACACCTTTCGGTTATTTCATGTGGTTTCGGGTGAAATTGAGAGAAACGTAACGGAAGGCCACATCAACCTCTCAACCTCGGTAACTATTGTCGGTGTGAACCAGCCGTGTTCTGCAACCTCTGTACAACTACCGCCGTATAGGCATGGAGCCTCAAAGGCAGATGCCTGCCTCACGATGTTCACCCCGCAGCGCCGCTTTTATTATCGATCTATAGCATCGATCTTGCAGCAGCCGTGCTCATGCATTCCATATCGATCTTAGCCGCTCAAGCTTCTCTGTTCACATGCGGCGATTGCTACATGTACAGCAGCAGAGGTACACTATTTACTATTGCCGGTGAACTGAGGTGCAATACAACCGCCTGCCGCAGGCGACACTCAACCCCTGACGCCGCCACCCCACCCTTGCGCGGCGGACAAGCTGCTGCGGCCAACGAGTGAGGGTGCCGCGCAACACGTGCGCCTGGGGGTGAACATATACCTCGCACCTAGGCCGCTGCCCAGCGCCGGCGCGGCGACATTTCCTTGTTGTTGGGTGCCGTGTCGGTACTGCTGTAGACTACGAAAGTACCCAGGGAGCAGCTTCTATTTCTTTGGGTAAAGTCGGGTTGCTCGTGCAATAATACTCTCGGCGCTGATGGGTGTTGCATCTTACGGACAAGCATGAACACGGACGAAGAAGGGTACGCTGCTGTCAAGGAAGCAAGGAAGCGCGGAGGGGGGAACAAGCCCGCAGGAGGGAGGAGAGTAATGGGGGGGCAGGACCACCGCCGCCTGGGCACACATGTTTCAAAATGAAAAACAAGTCAAACGGGATTACAAGCATGTAACTGCACACGCTCAAGAGAGTGTGCCAACAGGGCAATACTTTTGAGGCATTCGGAGATTAATTGCGCGTAAAGCATGTACATACTTGCCAAACTCAACGGCGCTGTGTGTACTGTAAAACAACACAACACAAACCACAAGTTTACCGCACTCAATAATGTCGCAAATGAAGTCGACAATATTTCGTACCTCATTGGCGGTATGCCCACCATGGACGGCTTCCAGGGCAGCCAGGATATTATTGTAGAGCGCCTCGTCCATCTCTTCCTCTCTGCAATACGCACACAAGCAGCGTGCGTCTGCTCGTGGGGATGAGGAGGAACAGCAGCGGAATCCTGGTCATCAGGGGTCCGAAAACAGCCGTAGGTAGGGTATGCCATGTACACGGTCTATTGTACGGAACCCCTACTCGTCGGCCGGCCGGCCGCCGGCCGTGTGTGTTGCAGCGGGCTCCAGAACGACAGGGACCACAAAGAGAGAGACGGAGAGACAAAACATGTGCCAGCGACTCGCGGTACCCTTCCTCCTGATCGTCCAGGCCAGGTTCGTTTGGAGGGTAGATATTCGACGGAGTGACTGCTGTGGAAACCTATGTAGCACAGCTTTGCACACCTAATGCCATCATATAGACCACGGCCTTGTCGTTGAGCTCTGCTGCCCGCGTGCAGGGAGGGCGTGTGTGGGTTGGTTGGCTGATACCTCCGTCGCGTTTGTACTGGGAAATCACTGCTATTATGCTCCAAAATGGCATCGACGGAATCTATGCTCGCCTCGCCTTGACACGAACACTGATACGTACGATGAGAGTATGTTCACCGCTACAATCCCGGCAGCACGACGTATCTACTGCATGATACAGCAGGAGGCCTTGATGTGTATCATAGCTGTGAAACAAAAAGTCGAGAGAGGATGGCACAAAGAAGACGCAACCTCTCGCTCTCAGCGATGCTACTTATGAGATGTCTAGTCAACCGTAACTCGTTGAGATCCGTAGACGTTTGCACCCCATGCATCGTCTAAGCGACGGCAAACCAGCAGTCATCTCGAACACGACCTTTACATTGGGTATTTGAACCACACCCGAGGAAGAGCGAGATGGGGAGGGGGGGCGTACTCTTATTTTTTGCATGCCTTAGCGGTTAGACCATTGACCACGCGTCCTCGAGAGGACGGAACATTGTTCCCACAGGACCGATCACCGATGGCCAATCGTTCCTT